TTCTTTGCCCAGTGTGCCATCTTTAGCAAGTTGACTTTGACAAGATAAAAAGAAAATTGGTTAAATATAATAATTATATTTAAAATTAAAAATTACATAATATTATTTTTGTAAAGGAAAACATAATTATTGATCTCTATATTTTTATAGAGTTTTGCTTTTAGTTCTCATAATTTAACATTGTTAGGAATTTGACGAACAAATAGCACCCAATCTTGGATAGAGAATGAAAATATGAAAAAAAAATTATAAAAATTAAAAGTAAAATTTAATGAAAATATATAAACAAATGATTGCATTTTTTCCAGTCTCGTAAGAAATAAAATTTAATCAAATGAGGGGCAATTTGAGAAAAATGAAATTAATACTTCTTAAATTTTGTAATTTTGCATATAAAAAAAATGACATATAGTACTCTCCTATGATAAAAAGATGGAGACAGTGAGTGTCAAAAGATTTATTTAATGATGGGTAGGATTCAAAAATTTTTATTAAAAATAAGTTGTAAATATTAATTCTTATAATTGTAATTAGGAGAGTCTCAATTACAAATTATTGCTAGTGATTTTGAGATTTAAAATTTATTATTGTCCGATTCTATATTTACAATTCAAATTTTTAGTTAAAAAAAATTAAATAGCCAACTGACGTTAAATTAAAATTTGGAAACTAAGTATCATTCTCCCAAATAAGTGTGTATGTAATTTGAAAAAATAATTTTACTAATAAAACATGTTTATTATATTGTGACTGCAAAATAATTATCGTTGACTTGTAGTAATTAACAAAATATAATAAATCTCATTTATTAACTTTTATAAAAGATATGATTATACTATTTTTTGCATACGGAAACGAGTTAATTTTAATTTTTTTTTCAACTATTGAATGTTAAAGTTACTTAATGGTATTGAAAAAAAATAAATTAGATAACAAATAAAAAAATTTAAACTAATTTATAGATTAAAAGAATAAATAATATTAATTATGATATATTAAATATAACATAAAAATTCTCTTCCTATTTTTTATAATTATCTGAAATCTGACACTACTAACTCAATTAGGAGAAATATTTAGGTAAATCAAGTACACCACATCATTTATAGTTTGTCCAATAAAAACATGACATTTAAATGATATTTAATATAAATTGATTATGATATTAACAATAGTGAAAAAAATAAAAAAATTAAATGTGTATTCTATTCAATCTTATAGAGATGATGCCGTGACGAGGACGTCACTCGAATAGGTGGAGGAGAATGTGACGAAGATAGAATTTTCATGAGGTTAAGATATTCTAGAAGTTTTCGGAACGATCCAGGACAATCAAGAACACCCCGGAGTCTTCTGGAATACACCGGTATGTCCTCGAAAGACCTAGATATCTCTAGAGTAGTGTAGAAAACACTTGAAGCATCCAGACCATTCTAGAGATATCTTGCTCTTGTACATTCTAGTAGTCTCCTTGTAATTATCAAGATATTTCTTGTAGATATTTCTATAGAATTATCTAGAGATAGAATGTACACCGTTAGATCGAATCAATCCCAACCGTTCATTAAGGAGGTGGGAATTTTCTAGAGAAAGGGGGAGGCCTATAAATACCCCCTCATCCCTCATTTGTAACTCACTCAAGCTTAGTGTAAAAGCTCTTAAAGTTCATTCACTCAAGCTCTCTACTCTCTACTTGTGCATCTAGCTCTCTTAGCCTCCTTGCCTACTTGTGGAATTCGGCTGACTTAGCAAAGATCAAGAGAGGGATCAAGCTAAGGCCGGCACGGTTTAAGGGAAGGGAGTTCCAAGGCCGTGACAACGTGGTCAACACAAAATTTTATTTAAATTACTTGAAGTATTTTAATTAGACAGATTATATATGACATAGTGGACCTGATTTACCTAAGCATTTATCATAAAGTAGACTATTTTACACATTATTGGTGGATTAAATTAAGAGTACGCTCATGTAACCTTTTTTTTTTTCATCCACAAAATTCAAATCATGAATCGTATTCAAGACAAATTCAATTATTTTTACTCGATTAAGTTGCTACTAATAAAACCTCTTTCCCTGTAGCTCTTTTTCCAGCTAGAGAGGCCAAATTTAGTAAATGTTTGAATTTTAACTTACATTTGATAAAAGTATATTTAAAGAATTTAATAATTTGTTGGATTTGATAAAAGTATGTTTTATATATAATTTAGATGTACTTTTAAAGGTTAACCAAACAAGTCATTAATTTAACTCCACCTCTTCTAAATAGATACACACGTGATTTTAGAAACATTATGCAATCTTCTTGTTTTTTTCCAAAAAAAATATTATTTTGGTAGTTAATATCAATGTTATAAAAAACTAGACTAACTATTGAATCAGCTGAGGTATTAGTTTATAATTCAATAATCGGATTACAATTTGAGTTATGGTCTAATCGATTATAAGTAAATTAATATATTTTAAATATTATATGTTTAAAGTATAAATAATAACTATATACAATAAAAAATAAATATTTAAATTTCAAATAAAATAATATACAATAAAAAAGATAATATCTATCAATATTACATCATTTTTATCCAAAATATATATAATTATTTCATAATTTATAATTTACAACTTTAAAATATATACAAATATCAATAATTCATGCATATTTTTTGCATTTTTATTTTATAATATTTATTAAATATAAATATGTATAAATTATAATTTAAAAATATAAATTAAAAATAAAGAAAATAAAAAAGTAACATGTTTGGTTCAATTGGTTTGTTACCGGTTTGAGGCCAGTTTGACCGATACATGGACGGTTAGTAGAATGAGCAGCTTTTTGATGCAATCGGGCTGGACTTTTGATCAGTTCAACCTGTCAGATTGACAAGTCCGATCTAATTCTGATAATAATGGTTAATATGACTTGTTTCCCATACACCATCAGATTTTGGCCTTAGACATTGAGAGGAAAAATTGTGCATGATTTTTTTTAATGCTCGATTGCAAATTTTTATACATGCAAAAATCATGATTTGTAATTCACCAAACATATATTTGTCCCATTATAATGTTCTCCACTATGAAAAAGTGATTAATAAACTAGCTAAACAAATTTAAAAGTAACGCCCAGTACACGTTTATTGACCTGAACAGGTCAAAGTCGTCATATAGTAACAATAACAATAGCAAAAATTAAATATTATTAAATAATTTTGGCTAGTGAAAGAACGTGCGTGTGCCTTTTTTTTAAAGAATGTGTTTATTTGTCTCGGCAAACAAGCATGAGACTTTAAAATTATATATATATATATATATATATATATATATATATAATCTCTCATTTATGCATTCACTAGCGGGTCTTTTTGGGAACGCTTGTATACGAGCTGTATTGTATTGGATTAAAAACTTCATTTTATAACAACTAAAGGGATACTTCTAATTTAGACTTTCTCATCCTCACTTATGATAGAGGACAACTCACCACATAATTTAGTTACTGAAAACATCTCTCTCGTGAGTCTTGGATATGTTTATAACACGTGTCATTAGATGCTATATTATGGCCGGTAGCGTTGAACTTCTTAATTTTTCATTTTTTGTTAGACTTTTTGTTTTGATGCTTTTTTTCTTTTTCTCGTAAATATACTCTTATTATCAAGAAAAACGTTTATATAATCATTATTAAAAACTCTATTGTTGAACAAAAAAATTATAATAATGACAAACCTTATCTCATTAATTAAGTGGTGTTAGTTAAATAAATTTTATAATGTCATTATATTTTATTAACAACTAAATCTCATAAAATACTATTAACTAGAACAGTCAGTTCAATACTTTTATTTAGTATTCTCTTTGATCTTTTTTTATTCCTATCCACCAGAGTTAAAATTGTTTGTTTCACACTTCTCACGTATGCTTCTAATATTGGTATTCTTTAAAAATATCCAAATCATCTTAGATGATTTTGAACCATTTTTTCTATAATAGATGTCACACCAACTTTTTTTGGTATGAGATCATTATAAATATTTATCTTTTCTTATATATTCACACATTCATATTAATATCTTCATATTTCTGCTATCCCAACTTTACATTTTTATCATTCTTTTAATTAAATCCCAACATTTACTTGCATAGCTGACTTTATAGTAATGCGATAAAATTTTTCTTCAAGTTAAGTGTATCAAGTACTTGCTTTTGAACGCAGATAAAACCTATAGCATCTTTATATTTGAACCACTTAGTATTTTATGTGTAACGTCTTTATCAATTTTCTCATCATTTTATATAATAGCTCTCAAAATTTGAATTGGGTCACTTGTAATATGATTTGATGTTCCAATTTACTCCTTTTTTTCCTATATAAAATTTATTTTTAACTGAATTTTACATACCAATAAAAATTTATTATTTAATTAAATTCACATAAAAATATTATAATTTTTCAATTTTACCTCTAATAATATTATAATTAATATTATGATGGTAGTAGAAAAAATGTATCAATGATCTATTTTATTTTTCAAAATAAAAATAAAATTATCTAATTATTTAAAAATATTATTGACACCCCTTATATTTAAAGACAAAATAAAATTTTAAAAAATACTTTATATATAAAAACAGAAGGAGTAACTTCTAAATCACTACTAGCTTGCATCTTATCAAATTGGGAGAATAAATTATAACAAATATATATAGGGGCAAAAAAATAAATTTAAGAAATTAAATTTCTATATAAAAATATCTATTATTTATGAATTATTAAAAAAAATCCAGATCATTTTTTGTGCTGAATTGAGTATAACATAATCCAACAAGCTTCACGGCTAATTTATTTAATAGAGAAATATGAAGTCTTATCCATTAACGAAAACCCTGAAAGTGTAGATACACTCTGGAAGTTACGCGGCGCCAGGACTATCTCCCTCCATCCCTCCCTCCCTAGATGCGCACCACACCGCACCACACCCTGGTAATTACAAAATTCGGTGTCACTAACTAAAATTAATTTAATTCCACGTATTATTTACTGTCCTTGCCATTTCTCTTCTATATAAACCTTCAATCTTGCCACTCTCACCTCCCACTTCGATTTTGATTTGCGAATTCAGCTTCAATTCTTAAAAGCCTCAACACAATGTCTTCTGATCTCTCTGTTATCCTCCCCCGTGTTCTCATCGTTTCTAGACGTAGTGTTCGCAAGAACAAGTTCGTCGATTTCGTCGGTTCGTTTCCTTTTCCTTCTCTGATTTCTAGCTTTCTTTATTATTATAATATAATGCCAAGATTTATGCATGTTTTTTTTTTTTTTATATTTCGGTTAAGGGCATGAATTTAACCCAAATTGTTAGAACCATTCCGCCTTGATTTTGTGCTCTTTTGATTGAATTTGGTGTTTGTTTGATTTTCAGGGGAGTATCATCTTGATCTTATAGTGGGGTACGGTGCAGTACCAGTGATTGTGCCTCGTGTTTCTGGGGTTCACATGCTGTTAGACAGCTTCGAGCCCATTCATGGCGTGCTTCTCTGTGAAGGAGAAGACATAGACCCATCTTGGTATGAAGAAGACACATCAGGCCTTTCACAGGAGGAACTTGAGGAAATCAGAAGAGTTCATGCCAGTGATACAGCAATTGATAAAGAAAAAGATTCAATCGAGCTTAGACTCGCCAAGCTATGCCTTGAGAGGAACATTCCCTACATGGGAATTTGCAGGGGATCACAGATCCTTAATGTTGCATGTGGGGGTACTCTTTTTCAGGACATAGGAAAAGAACTTTCTAGAAAGTGTCCTGAAAGCCAGAGAGTGGTACACATAAACTATGATGACTATGATGGTCACAGGCATAAGGTGAAAATAGTGGAAAACACACCTTTGCATAACTGGTTTAAGGATTCTCTGGAAGAAGATAAAATGGAGATTTTTGTTAATAGTTATCATCATCAAGGGATTAAGAGATTGGCACAACGCTTTGTTCCAATGGCTTTTGCCCCAGATGGTTTGATTGAAGGGTTTTATGACCCAGATGCTTATAATCCTGAAGAAGGGAAGTTCATTATGGGATTGCAGTTTCATCCTGAGAGAATGAGGAAGCCTGATTCTGATGAATTCGATTACCCTGGATGCCCATTTGCTTATAAGGTTTGAATCTGAAATAATCTTTAGTTTCAGCTGTAAATTTTGATCTTGTCACACCAATATAATTTGACAGTGTGATTTTTCATGTTAACTGCAGGAATTTGTGAAGGCAGTGATTGCTTTTCAGAAGAAGGTGAATAGCATAACATGTGTAGAAAGGCCTATAAAGCTTAACAAGGAAATGGAGAACAAGAGGAAGATCATAGTGAGAAGTTTCTCACTTGCCAAAGATCTCTACATCACAGGCAAAGGGATGAACCCTACCAAGGACTCTGAACTTGAAGCAGGAGCAAATTTCCTTGAGGTATATATATATATATATATGAACTTTTTGACAGTATTAAGTCCCCACTTGTTTGTTTTCCTCTTTGTTTGATCTATGTTCGAAAGGATTTTCCTCTTGGATCGGGCACAGAAACTTATTACTGATGCTTTAGATTCCAACCACAATGGCTGTGTTTGGATGTCAGTTGGATGAAGTTGATTATCAGATGGAGCTTCAGATAGCTTTTCCTACAATAGAGTTTCAGAGCCTAGATGGAATTTATGGAAAAAAAAAATGGGGTGTTTGGGTGGTTTTTCTTTAAAACAGAGTTTCAGGAGTCATAATTAATTACAAAGGGATATCCAGACAAACCCAGTCTTGTTGATTTTGCCTAACCATGTTTTTGGCACACCCAGAAGTGATTCCAAACACATACTAAAAGTGATTATTGGCAAACGGATACAGATCACAGCCCGGGCTATGATTATTTTCAGACATTTTCTTTCTATGGTGACACTGATTAAATTATTTTGCAGTCAAACAAAGCGTTGAGTGTGCAGCAAGAGAAGAGGTTAAAGCAGATGGGGGCAACGGTTAGGAATGCAGGATCATACATTGAGAGGCTGAAGCTAAATGAGGAAAGAGAAAGAATGACAAGAAATGTGATGGCAAAAATGACAGCGGAACAGTTATCAGAGCTCTTAACTTTCTACCACACAATGGGTCAAATATGTTCTGAGGTGTTGGAAAAGAAGTTTCATGAACTTGTCAATAATGACTTTGTTGGGTCATAACAATTAACATTAGCCTTTTTCTTGATCTCTTGTTCATTTCTTTTGTCTTTGTATGGCCATGCAAAGTAGGTAGGTCTCTCTCTTCTCTGGGGCTCACGAGGATCTTGAACCATAGGGTCCCACCTTGTTCTTTGATTTCTTCTTTTGTACATCTTTCACTCTTTCAGTTTCAATGAAAGTGATGTTAGTTACTACTGGTTCTCTCTCAAGGTCATGGCTCCTTCCTTAATGTTTTCAAGCAGATCTATGCATGGAACTTTGCCTCTATTAACAGTTCCATTGAAAAAAGAAACCAACAGCTGTCAACATGGCAGACAAAAGTGGTGGGGCATCCTTTTCAAAGACGGAATATTCTAATGTGAATCTATATTCCCGCCAGTTTTTATTAGAAGGTATCTCTCCTTACCTTAACTGAAAAGTAAGGAGAGGTGATTAAATAGAATAAATTTTGATTTTACATATATTTACATCAAAAAATTTTATATTTACATTATATTTTCTTTCGTATTTAATGGCTTTAAATATGAGAAATATTAAAAAACTTAATTAATATTACATCAAATGACCTATAATGAAAACCATTCATTTTTTTTAGAATGTATCTTATTATAATAAGAAGAAAGAGTATATCACCTTTTTAAAAGAAATTGATAATAATATTTGTAATTCGTTAAAATATTATAATATTAATAATTTAACCTCCTCTTGATATGATAATTTATCTATATTTAATTTCAATGAAACACTTGTTAGTGGTGAGATAGAGGAGATATATAGGGTATGGTGAGACCTTAAACAAAGAGCCGTAGAGTCAGTAATAAGAGTCAGGTTGAAGGTCTTGTTTAAATAAAGGTTTGAGTTTTAGAAATTAATTTTTTTTTAAATAATTGAACTTAAGGGCATGGCTTTGATAAACCTTGTGAAAAAAAGCTCAGGCCCTGATGACTCTTCAAGCCCTAATAAGCCGAGTTATCTTATACATACACATACATACATCCATATATTTGATTGATAATGATATAATTTGATTAATATTTATTGTAAGTGATGAAGAAAAAGTTACAAAGATAATTGACATTAAATTTCCACCTCTATCTTCAACAAGTGGACCTACATCTAAGGGATTTAAAATTTTATTTTTAAATGATGAGGAGGAGGATTTAGATTTACATTGATGAAGATTTTAATCTTCATCTTAAATTTTAAATTTTAAATCTTTATCAAATTTTATGTTAAATTTTATGTGAGACTTTAATTTATTTTATGTTGAATTTTAAAATAGTCTATTTAAATTAAAATATTAAATTTTTTCAAGAAAGAGGGTTTAGGGGCTGAGTCTCATAATTAGATTAAATTGTAAATAATCAAACTTTAAATCCTAAGCCTTTAAGAGTTGGGTTCATAAAATTCGAACCCACCCTACTTCTCACCTTTACAAGGAGGGGACATTTTATGTCTTATTCTCTCCTATAGGATTATGCATTTGAAGGAGAGGATCCAATCTCAGAAAAAAAAAATTAAAAACATAATAAATGTTATGAAATCATGTATATCCATATATGATAAAATTTATTTATATTTCTCTCCAAATATATAAATGCATGAATGTAAAGTTATTCATCAGCAATATAAAGGCTGGGCCATTGATTTAGCGGTTCCGCTCTTACTCTTACAAAACGAAGACTGCGAGTTCAATCTCACCCCTCACACACAATTCTGTGTCTGTTTGGATATGTATGAGCCCAAAAAAAAAAAAGAAGTTATTCTTCAACATGTAGTTTTATTGGGCACTCTTTAGGGCATTATAGAGATGCAGAAGTTGATTCCAGAAACAGTTACTGATTAAGTGATTGTTGATGGTTAAATTAATTTATCAAGGGAAGTCTCTGGAAACATAAATACTCATACAAACATTGGACATAGTAACATTTTGATATAGTGAAAGATGCTGTATAATTTGAAGCATTGTGATATGTCCAATATATGAATCTGAATCAAGGATATGCCCAACATTTTTCTTGACATTTTTTTTCTTTTTTTCTTTTTTGCTTCGATGGCATAATTATCTGATTCATCATGAGGAGCATATCATCAACTACATGAATTCGTCTAATTCTGCATATTATATTTGATGCAGGGCCAAAGTCATATTATATTGTTGCAAAAATGCGCTACTATTATGTAATGTTTGGTAAGTACAAAAGTATTTCTATAAAAGCAATGAAAAATGCATCAATCTTTTTTTTTTCTAGATACATATTCAATTTTCTTATTAAAAATATTTTTGCATGTACCAAACATTACCTTGTACTTTTCAATATTTTTACTTTCCTCTGGAACTCAGAATCAATCTGCAGAAGAAGCATAGGCAGCGGGAATGATAGTCTACTTCGGACGCCCAATTTTTATTTTTAGCCCATGAATTATGGGCCTTGCCCAATATAATTCTCCCTGGCCCAAAAGAAAACCCATCCGACTTCTATAATTAATACGATGCTATATATTCCATGTTAGGCCTATTTATTATAAGAAATTAAGAAATACATTATAGTTAAAATTTGGAAAAAACAAAAATTTAGTTCCTTATACATTACTCAAATTTTGTTATTAATTTCTGTACTTTTCTTTCAATGTTTTTAGTTCATATATTTTTATTTTTTATTATTTTAGAGAGGTATAAAGTAATGAAAAACAAAATTATAGGAATCAAAAAATTAAAAGAAAAGTGCAGAGAGCGAGAAAATTACATGGATGTAAAATTACATATATATTTTAAATTTAAGTACCATTTGCCTTTTTAATACGCACGAGGTAGTAATTATTTTGGATTTTAGTGTGCTGAGTCTTGCTCCGTATCAAGGAGGTATGTGGGTCGGGCTGAATTTTCGTTCAAAATTTTGGATTACCAGCATTTTCTATCCTGGGCCATGGCCTATTCTCAATTATTTTTTAATTTCATGGGGAAAGTGAATGACTATCTCACTGCCTTTTTTTATATTCTCTCAATAAAAAATACATGATATTTTTAACTAAATTACGTTTAAATAAGTTAGTTAATTATTTTTAAATTAAAATTATTTTTTAATGTTTTACTCTTGTTTAATAAAGTGTCTTACTCATTAATAGTATTTTTGAAAAAAAAACTCATTAATTAAATATTGAAAAAGTATAAATGCTTTATATTTTTTAACGAATAAAATATGTGTATGATTATAGATTTATAATGATATTTTTTGTATGAAACATCTAATATCCTTAGCCTGCCCCGATTGGTGGAGCTAAAGGAACTTAATGGACTTATACTAATTCAGATCAAATTAGAGTTAAACTCTTTCAGGTGAAAGCTCTACCACCAATGTTGTTATATTTATAGAACTTGAATTCAAAACTTTTAATTAAATTGGTGATCCTATCTTATCAATTGAATCAAACATGTAGTATAGTAAATTTAAAACAGTATATTCTCGTAACGTTGTTATCTACAATTTTTTTTGACCGAATTGCTATCTACAATTTTACGTTGAAAAATAAGCTGAAATCTTATGTGGACATTCTAGGAAACTAGAAAAGTGAATGCTGCCATTAACTTGAATATCTTCAAGCAGCCAATTTGCTTTTCTCTATTGCTAGTGTCAGAACCTTCTGCGAGCAATTCCAAATAAATGCACTTTCCTGTAAGAATTACAATGCCCATTCTATTTTGGCTGGACTTAATTTCTTTTCATTTCTTTCTTTTTTAATTTTTTTTCACCTCTCATCTTAATCATTGAATAAAAAATTTAAATAGTTAAGATTTAATGTTTTGTGAAAATAATTTTTCTAATTTTTTATTACAATCCTAAATCTTGAATTGGAGTTTAGATTAAATTTATTATTTATTTTGTTATATTTTAAATTTATTTATTTATTTTTTATAATTTCACATTTTAATATTAATTTTATAAAATATTAAATCCTAAACATTTTAAAATTGATTCAATGGTTGAAATGAAAAATGGAGAAAACTAACTCCTTGTGGTTGCAAGCTTGAAGTTTTCTGTAAGTGGTGTGTTGAGAAAATTAGGGCTTGAAAGACAATTTGAAATAGAGGTTTTATAGTAGCCAAACATACGTAAAGTGTTCCAACTAATAAAGTTGGTGAGTGGTAGATATTTGCCTTTTAGTCTCAGTATTTTGAGAGAGATATTATTTATTGTTGATGAAATTTACTTTTTATGCTTATACCAAAAAACATGCTTGAAGTGTAAATTGACAAATTGAGTTTTTTAAACCATAGTTTGGAATTTTAAATTGAAATGGTAACATGCATTTTATTGAGCAAATGAATGATTTAGCATATGAAAGATCTTTTCTCCCCCCTAATTTGATCTTGTAATTAATGGAAAAAATTTCAATGTATTCCTTAAATGATTACTCACTTCTTAATTTTTTTCTATCTTACAAAATATAATGTCTCAAATTCACACTCCCACATTCTCCCCCCCCCCCCCCTTTTATAACTAGATCCACTGCATTGAGGAAAATGGGAGACACGCGATTGTTGGTTAATAAATAATAATAATGGAATTAAATTTAAAGGCTTTGTCTTTGAACAACTGATTAGGGATGAGATGAGAGTGATATGTCAAATATCAAATCCCTGATTCAGTGGCGGATTCACTTGCCCCTCTCAGGCCACAAAATTTTTTTTTCAAAAATTATTTTATTTCACTTGTAAAAAAATGCTAAAACTAACTTTTGTTCCCCACAATTATACAATTTAATATTTTACCCCCTCCCAAATAGAGTCATTTCTGAATTTGTCCCTGCCTGATTTATTCTATTTTTTGGTTGCCCAGGTATCTGCCGCTGGTAGTAGTGGCTAATTCCTTCACCGCAGGGTCTCCCGTAAGAGGACAAACGGCTAGTTATAGAGTGTTTTCCATCGCATAAGTGAGAAATGGAACCCCCCATCATATACTTAAGGGACGAAGCGAGTTTTATCTGATTTGTTCTAATTTCTCATTCTATGTGGACTTCACCATTTTGTTTATTTAATGTATTTATAAGTTCACTCTCAAAGTAACCTATGAATATGATCAGGTTCATTTCAAACACTCGAATGTTCATGCTTGTAGAAACCAAATTGTTCCATTTTAATGCCCAATACTATTCAAGAAAAGATAATCACAAATTCAGAGCCCACACTTTCTTATGTGTGTTTTTTTTTATTAATTTCATGGCTCAGTATTTTGAGAATCTAAAATTATTATCACCACATGTTTAGACCAACTAATTCGAACCCCTATTATATATGTGATTAATTTTATCAACGATGATCTCATAAATATCTTGAGATGTTTTTGATATTTTCCCTGAACCGTCTTAGGATTTTATCCCAAAACCTTAAGATAACTTTTGAAAATAGGTGGGCCTAAATTTAACTTGTTTAGCCATTGAGGGTTTGACTAGAGAGGAGGTTGACAGCCCAACAAACTAATATTATTAGCACTGTCAAATTATTTACATTTTGTTTAATAAAATAATTAATGAGAAATAAATTAGTAATTTATAATTTTTATAAAAAATTTACTGTCTCTTTTTCAAAATTTACTTTTTTTAACTAAAATTTTAATTTTTATAATTTATTTGATGTGGATTAGTTTTATTGAAAGGCATGGGTTAGGAATAATTTTTCTTTTTTATTTTTTTGGATAAACGGAATAATTTCTCTATTATTAATGGGAATGGACTGAATGAGTGAATTCTACTTGTCCAAGATGGCATTTAGTAGACAATGTCTAAGATTGCCAAGTCAAACAATATCAATGATTTAATTGACCGACCGCCTAACTTCTTTTGCTTCAACTACACTCATTAAAGACTATAAATTATCGTCAGAATATTACATAGTATATATTTAAAAATAAGAAACTAGAATATGATAAATAAATTTAATAATAAATTAAAAATAGTTGGATCCAATCTTTAAATTTTGTTTAATATACAAGATGTGTGTAATATACATATAATAAAATATATAGCAAGCAGTGGTGTTCATAAATCATGAATTATGTTAGAGTTAACATACAATTTGTACCTTGAGTTATATATTTAAGGGTAATTTAAAAATTAAACTATTATTTAATATATTTTAAATTCTAAATAATTAAAGTTAATGTAATTTTGCCCCGTTAAATTAAAACAAATATTTATTATTTTTTTTTTGAAAATAAGGTTAAATGTGTGATTTTTACCAAACTTCAGTCTTCCTCTATCTAATACCTCTTTGAGAAAAAATTATATATTAGGTTCCATTTTTTTAAAAAATAATAGATGTTTAATTTAATTTAATGGTGAGGGTTAAATTACACTAATTTTAATTTTTTTATAATTTAAAATGTATCAAATAAGAGTTTAAGATTTAAATCAATCTTAGACCTATGATTTAAAATTTAAATTACATATTAATCCATTAAACTATAATAAACTTTTCATATGGATGGTTGTGTATGTTTCTCATCATGAGTTACAATATAATTTATTTCTTAATTTAATTTAAATGTAAAATAAAAATGTGTATTTAATATATAATAAATTAATTTGTATTTTCATTTACTTGTCCACTACTATTTATTTGCTCCATTCTTATTTAGTACTTTCTTATTTTTAAATTATAAAATATTTTTAAATAAAATCATAAATACTGATAAAATAAGTAAAGTTTTAAAGCTCTCAATTTATAATTATTTATGTTAAATTATCAAATAATATTTATAAAATAATAAGTTTTATTTAAAAATTACTAATACAATATTATGTTATTCATATAAAAATGGTTAAAAACTTAATTTACTACTTTTATATATATATAACTATATGTTATTAGAGGGCTTGATTGCCACCTAAACTAATTATTTTTTAAATAAAATGTTGCTGACATTGAAACTCTAGTGACTAACCGTTGGCAATAAGGGCTCCGGCAACGATAGTTTTTTTTTTTTGGTTTTTTTTAACTTGATAGACATTTTAGATTTTTTACTTTAAAAATTAATATTAATCAAGTAGCAAAGAATTGCAATATAATTTTAAAATTAATTAATCTTTAATTGATAATAAATTTTTTCAGTGGTCCTGGGACGTCATTTTCTCTCTCTCTTTTTTTTTTTTTTAACCCCGCCAACTTTTACAGTAGAATATCTAAAGCAATCCCCGTAACCCAACCCAAATCGCAAGTTCTGTTCGACGTCAAATCCATGTCTCCTCCTCTTACAGGCTTAACTAGTCAAATCAGATCAAAGAATTAAATATTGCACAATATATTCTCCTATTATATCTTCACAGACACGGAAACTGTATTCTGGCTGCGGTTCAGTTCCTTGTCGTCAATGTCACTATGGCTTATCTCTTCACCCTTGGCTTTCTTCTTTCGAGCATTACACTCTTGGTACTGATACAGGTTCCTTCGTATTCAAGCGCCTATGATTATTATACAGCTTGCGGGATTCTGTATGATTGTGGGAAGATTAGGAACGTTGGGTTTCCGTTCTGGGGACTAGCTCGTCCACAAGGTTGTGGCTACCCTGAATTGTATCTGAATTGTTCTGGAAATTCAACCTTCATAACGATACAAGAAGTTAGACACTTGGTTTTGGATGCCAAGCCGGAACAGCAAGTTCTGAGAATTGTTAGATTCGATTGCATGGACGATCTTTGCCCTGAACAGTTTATTAACCCCATTCTTGACCCTCAGGTGTTTGATTATGTGCGTGAACTAAACTATCTTACACTTCGATATGGTTGTCCGTCAATAATTCCTTCTGTGAAGTTTGGACAGTTTTTTTGCTCCAAAAATGGGTTTGATGATGAAAATGGCTTTGTTCTGTTGGGCAAGGATCCTGGCTTTTCTGGGCGATGCAATGCAAGCGTGCTTGTTCCTGTTGAAGTTCCTATGTCACTTGTTGATGTGATCGATTTGGATAAAGTCAAAGGGGCAATAAAAAATGGATTTGAAGTGAAATGGATAGCTGGAACTGATGAATGTGATCGGTGTCAGAAATCAGGGGGAGCCTGTGGCTATGATTGGGCAGCAAGACACGCTTCCTGCTATTACAAACATGAGTCTTCAGCCTCCTCTTCCATAACAGGATATTATTACAAAGAACGCCATCGGTCTTCAGGTACGTCTATAATTTCGCTTCATTTATAAATTATGGCATAATTTTTTAAATAATATTTAAAAAATATGTTTAAAATTATTTTTTATGAGAGAAAAAAATAATATGATATTATTTTTTAAATTTATTATATAAAAATATATTTAAAATTTTATATACTTTTATTTTTTATATTTTTTTTGCATTGATATTGATGAGGTTAATAAAAATGATTTATGAAAAAGATCGGAAGAGTATGCAGCTACTTTAATTTTTGCTAACTTAAAAAATTCATGTCATGAGATGGGGGTAGGAAGCAGGAAAAGTTTATAAAGATAGTGGCTTTATATGCAGTACACCTAGGTCCAGTTGGTGAGAGATTAGGAACAATAAACATTGATAAAATGTCTAGTGATGCCATGCAATTTTTAATTTATATCATGTAGAACAGGCTACATTTCTTATTTTGAAGTGCTCCCACATTATAAGTGAAATATAGAGAAAAAAATAGCAAGACTTCAATAAATGGCCTCCGCGGAGGTCTCAATGTGTATATGATTGAGATCTTTTTCACTGCTTTTGATCTTGTTATATAGTTCTTACCCGGTAGGCCTTTTAAAAAACAAAAACATAGACGTGAGATTCTAATATGATTACTTGACAAATTCACCTTAATTTGGAAGCCAAGCGATTTGAGCTATATAAGCTCGTTGGTTATACACCAAGAGCAATTTGATTTCTCTATCGTGGACTGAAGACTAGTTTGCAGTGTTAATTATTCCAACCATATTTTCTTATAATCTGATATGCCTAATTCGAAGTGTACTTAAATGATGTTCCTAGTCATGATAGATTCGGTATCTTTCAATTTTAGATAACTGTAGTCCCTTGTAGTTGGAGTCAGATATGCTTGAGCATATTTTATTGGAAAACACAATCAAATAAGCCTATTGATGATCGAAGAAGTAATTAAGGAAAACAAAGAGGATGAAACAGAGAGGTACCTCTTGAAGAATTGAGGATTAATTACTTAGTCTTGCCACAAAATTAGGCATGTGGATGATTTTTTGTTTTCCTAGAAATAAATTTTCCTAGTCTTGCAGCAGAAAAATACTTCTTGTTTACATCTATGTGAAAGCAACCTCTACCTATCACTGCATTGTGTGGCTGTGAAATATGATCAACGCTCACGGCTAATATATGCAGTGGGAATTCGAACTTGCAACTCTTGCTATGTAGAGAACGCGTAAGCTGCTGAGTCATAGGCTCATCCCCTTATCATGATCATCATCATCATCATCATCATCATTAGTTTTGTTCAATCTAAGCGAACACAAAACAGGTCTAGGGAGAAGATTGAACCATCATAACAATAACACCTTTACCATATAAGGAGTCAGATTAATAGCAATTTCATTACCATATCGTGCAAGTGAAAATTAGAACATGTTTAGACATATTACTGCAACAAGCAGCCACCTAGGAAGAATTTTAACACTTCAGTTCCATAAGACCACTCTCAGGGTTTTTCTTGCATCAAGACTCAAGAATTCATGCTCGTTCAGCAGGACCTTCCTTTGAGGTCATTGAGAATTTGCTAAAATCTTCAGAGCCAAATGGCATCCTTACTGAAACAAGCTGAAGGCTTCTTCAAAAAGGGTAACAGAGATGGACTGCTCCCTATAGCAAAGCAAACTGTGGAACAACCAATACCTGCTGGCTGAGTGAGGAGATAATATGGGTGTGCGTAATCGAATTGCTGAACAAGGGAGGTTCTTTTGCATAGAAGTGATGGGCCGTTTGGTTCGATGCATCAGAAGAGGATTACATGTAATTCTGATGCACGTCTCCCATTCATGCTGTTTGGTTGGTCCACTGTAATGTAAAGGGGACATGCGAAGGGGATTGCCTCAAATGCTGTAATAGGGATTACATCACTAGACCTATGTAATCTCTATTCCACTACCCTGAATCCACCATTGTACCAAAATACTCCCATCCTCTTGTGCTCATCTTTTGACGTTTGACCCACCCTCCTTCTCTGGCGCCGTTCCCACCCTCCCCCATCGACGGCCGCCTTCTTTCTCATATAGTCTTCGTCTCCTACCTTTTCTACTCCCTTCGATCGATGACGCTGTTGAGGAGATCCAGAAACCCTCTAATGAAACCAACATTTTGAACATCATCTTCGGAATCAGAGCTTCGGCGAAGCTATGGAAACAAAGGAAAGAGTATATCAAGGTCTAGTGGAGGCCTGATCAAATGCGTGGCATCGTTTTGGCTATGCTCCGGCTTTTGGGTTTTCCAGATTTTCCAGATTCAAATCACACCAACAGTTCTCACCATCTTCAACTTGATTTTTCATATTGCGGGGCTTTTGGGTTTGGTTTTGCTGTGCGTGGAGTGTGCCGGCAAAGAAGGAAGTTTGTTGTTGTTGTGTTCGGCCAGGAAAAGAAGGAAGATGCTTGAATTTTCTTGTTGGGGTTTAACTTAAAAAAGTCATTTCATAATTCTTTTAGTATTTTTTATAAAAATATATTTATCAAACATCTTATATTTCATTCTTTAACATTATATTTTATTACATTACCTTTTATCAGAGAACCAAACGGGCCATGCAAGTTGATTTTGGTTTTGGTGCTCGTTACATGAGCAATTTAAATCGTTCAAATTTTAAAATTTTATTTATATAATTTTATTTTATATTTATTATAAAAAAATTATAAAATTTTAATAAATTTATTTTATTATCAATTAGCATAATATAAATTTCATTTTAAATAGTTTAATTTAATATTATTTTTTTAATTTTTACAAATTAACTATTTAAATGTATTTTGGATAGTTTAAATTTAAAATTTTTAGGTTGCAACCTTTTTTTAATTTTTTTAAAGTGGCAGTTTGAATATTATCTTTATCTTTTTTAAATAAAAATTTATTAAATTTTAGAAAAATTTATTATTAAATTTAGACGATTTAGAATATATCTAGATAATCAATTTATATAAATTATAAAAAAATTTAATATTAAATTAGATTATTTAAATTAAATTTATATTGTCTAAATGGATGATAATATATATTTAATAAAATTTTATAATTTTTTTATAATAATAAATATAAAATAAAAATATAAAAATATAATTTAAAAATATGAACAGTCCAGAGAACCGAAACCAAACGGCCAAACCCCACGAAAGTCCTCGGGTGGATTGTTTGCGTACTTTTTTTCTTAGTTTTGAAGGATGTGAGAGTTTTTTTAAAAAAAAAAAATTTCTGCTTACGACACCCAAATTTCAGTATTAAAAAAGTTTAACTTAATCTAAGATGATACAACTAGTATATATAAGAGTAAATAAGATTCACTCTAGAATGGATTCGGATTTCATACAGGTGGCGCCCACATCTAGTCTAGCTATTAATTATTTTGCAGCATGATTTCTTTAAAACATAAAATAAAATTCGACAAAAAAAATTAATTTAAACCGTCATAATCAAAACCTAGTCCATCGCTTCTAAAAAGAAGAAATATAGATAATTACCAGAGAAAAACTCAACAATACCTGTAATAATAAAGTGAAGAGACAAATAAAACGCCTAATATTTGGACAGACTGCAGTGAGAGTCTGATTTTCATTTTGCTAGGGAATTGACCAGAAAGGGATGAAACGTTAAAAAATTTCCTGGTCAAACTTCTGTCTCCTTCCTTCTCATCGGCGTTCCTTATAGTTGAGTATGTCACTTATATTTCTTCGTCAATGTCTTCCTCTCCATCGATGGCTTCCTTCTTCACCCCAACGTTTCTTCTTTCATACATAACACTTTCATTATTGCCCCGTATTTCTTCGTATTCGATCACCAACGATTATCATAAAGCTTGCAGTGCTCGGTACGATTGTGGGAAGATTAGCAACGTTGGGTTTCCTTTCTGGGGACATGGCCGTCCAGAAGGTTGTGGCTACCCTGATTTGTATCTCAATTGTTCTGAAGGTTCGACCTTCATAACAATCCAAAGGGTCAGATACCTGGTTTTGGAAGCCAATCCAGACCAACACATTCTGAGAATTGTTAGATTCGAGGACTACTCGCAAAATCTGTGCCCAAATCAGCTTGTCAGCACAAGCCTTGACCCTCTGGTGTTTGAAAACGTGCCTGAAACAAAATATCTTACCTTTTTATATGGTTGTCCTTTAATCCCATCAATAAGCTATCTACAACTTCCTTGTCGTAAAAATGGGTTTGGTAATCCATTTGGCTATGTAGTGTTGGATCATATACCTGAAATTTTTGCGTCATGTTCTGCAAGCGTGGTTGTTCCAGTTGAAGTTTCTCCGTCAGAAATCGATTCTTTTGCTTCGAGCATAGTGCAAGGCATACTTAACAAAGGGTTTAGAGTAAAATGGATAGCTGGTATTGCTGAGTGTGCAGAGTGTCAGAGAACCGGCGGAGTCTGTGGCTATGATTTGGGTTCAAATCAGCCTACCTGCTACTCCATAAGAGGTGACCCAGCGCCTCAGCCTCAGGAGCCTCCAGGTACGCCTATAACGTGATGTCAATAGCAATTTTTGTACTTCACGACATATAGAGTAAGAATAAGATCCAATTGAGTGGGTTAAACCTCACCATATTCAGATAAATTCCCTGCAACACTCGATGAGATCTATTTTACAGGGAAGTAATCCAAGTACTTGGCACTTCCCTTGAGAGTGAAGTTTAGCCGTATGAGCTACATCAGCTCATTGGCTATGCGCAGACAGTGAGCTTATTTCATTGTCTTTGACCAAAGATTAGCTTCTTGTGTTGATTACTGCTGGTGCATTTTTTCCCCCGCCCATCTTTTTTTTTTTTTTTAATCATGGGATTTGGCTGTTCGAAGTAACAGCCTCACAGGTCTGAGGCTTTTTTACATTTTTAGTCTTGGTGGTGATATTAGCTTTGATTTTATTTTAATACAAAGGCACGAAAAATCATGCAAAGGGAATAATTAGCTCATATCAGAGTTAATGATGCTTCTGCACCCTAAGGATGGATTAACAAAAATTGCAGTATTTAAATTGTCGTTACGTGTGTGATTTGCTAGACAATTAACGCATCTATTTGCTTTTCTAAAATTATGTTTTAAAGTTATAATTCAATCTCTGATGATGCTATTAATAGGAGTGAAGATAAATGATGATTTTGATTGTATTTGTGTTGAGTGTTATTAGCTTTGATGAATATTACTGTGGGCCCTTTAGTATTATTTTATTAAAAACCACGAATCAAGCAAAGCTATTGAGTACAGATAATGAAATAAGTTAAAAAAAGGGGATTAGAATAAGATCATAAGAGTGGAAGACAATGCTGCTTGTAGATCAATACGCACATAATCCATCACCGCTTAGCATGTTGATAGTCACGGAGTTGATGCACAGTATCCTCCAAATCGTTGCAACCAAAGGGGCAAGGACCTCTTGAAGATATTCTACTTGGCGTGTCAGTTTCACCATTTATATTTTTCCCAGAATCAATTTCCCTACCCTTTCTCTAGGAAAAGTTTCTCTTCTTGGATCACTGGTTGGTTTATCTGTGTGAAAGCAACCTCTTCAGCACTGCATCGTGTGGCTGTGATTGATTAACGTTTCTTAGAAATCATCTCTCCCTTTCCAAAACCTTTTTTTTTTTTTCCTTCTTTCAAATCCAAGACCTCTACCTACTTTTGGAGATTATTAAGTTTTTTTATTTCTTTCAAGTAGATATTTCTTTGGAACAAAACAGTGCCATCAACAGAGGCGAGTCTAATGAGAGGGGTTAATCCCTCACAATGTGGTGAACCTAGGTTCAAATTCTCTTTAAAAGAAGTATTCACTTTTGGTGTCCAGTCATATTTTAAATATGATTGTCTTCAATAAAACTATAAAATAATACTTATAAGCAATAAAAAACCACTGTGCTTGGCTAATTTTTTTTTCTTTTAAAGCAGTTATCATTTTCCAGGAGTTACTAACCTAATTTTCAGACATGAAGATGAAACCCAAAAAAGAAAGAAAGAAAGAAAGAAAGAAAATCTTAAACAGCTGAGGTAGAAAGAAATTCTGCTTAAAATAAAAATATCTTTCTTCTGTTGATTATCAAAAAAGAAAAAATAATATCTTTGCTCAAAATTATTAATTGTTATGCTCTGTTTTTTTTTAACATTTTTAACAAAATTAGTTTTTTAAAATTCTTTTATTTTTTTAATTTCAACTGGCCCTCTCAGCATGACTTGAACATCAGCCTGCTCTCCCATTAGAGTCCTCGGTTTCCTATTCTGGTTGTTGAAAATATCTTACTACGACAGAGGGAGCGTATACTTGCAAACTTAAACGTGTTAGAGCTTCATAGGTTGATTGAGGTGAAGAAATTGGTCAATCTGATTATTTTAGTTCATGATGCTTTCAGTTTGTAATAGTCTAAATATATTCATAAAAATATATTCGAGTCAGGGCATTTATGTGTATTCATCCGAAAAATCACTTGATGGCTTGTCAATTAATAAAACACAGATTTCAGAGACCCCATCATAATTAATAATTGATGACATCAGAAGAGTTATTTCCTTTTTTTTTTTTTTGCATTGTTTATATACATAGTTTACTTAGGATGGGGATACAACATATCTCTCAACATTGGAAAGATTTAAAGTATACTTCTTCTATTTAAAAATATAAGACATTGTTTAAAAATACAAGATATTTTTGAAGAGTTTGATGTTAAAAAATATAAGACATTTTTAATCTTTTAAGATGTAATCGTTGTCTTTTTTCAAAAGTGTCCCTATTGATAGTAACTATATATTTATTATAAAGTATTTAATACAGATAAATATAAAAGATAAAGTTAGTTTAAAAGTAGGTAACTATTTTATTAGATGGTAAAATTTGATTAAAAATATTTGATATTTTTAAATGAAGGGAGTATATTTTGTCATTTATGTAACCATTATGAAGCTCTTGATTTGTAATTTTATCATTTTACATCATTATTCATTTTTTATATTTGAAAGAAAAGTGCATTTGTTGTTTTCTCTGTCTATAACTATATTTTTTTTTTGGAAAAATATAGTCGTTAGTCTTTATAATTTTATTAAATTATAAATTAGATCTCAATAGTTTATTTTATTTTAATTAAATTTTTATAGTTTCAGCTATTATATATGTTGACCCTTAAAAGTTAAAATTAATAGGGAATTATTAAATTTTATAAAAAAAATACTCTTGAAGTCTGTAAAAAATTTAATTTAATACTTTTAGCTAAAATTTTAGTTCACTGTTTATATTTTTATTATAATTTTTTATGAAAATTTTACGTTTATAAAAAGTATTTAGAAGACAATCTAATTATATGAATTTTGAGTTATAAAAATTATGTAATTAATTCTAAACTCATATAATCATTTAATAAAAATATAAAAGTGCTTAATTTTGTTTCTTAAAAGAAAAAATGTAAGGATTTCAATTTTTAGGGATTAAAAAATTTAATTAGTCAAATTATAAAGGTTTAATTAAAATAAAATTAATTGCCTATAACTGTAAGGACCTGTAGAGATTTTTTTTCTCTCTCTCTCTTGGTTTTTGTTTTTGAGCCTATAACTGTTTTCAACCATTCATAATTCCTTGGACTTGCCTATATGAGTATCTGTCATAGTTGAGGCATTAACAATGTATATAATTAGACTTAGTCATATTATTAATATAAAATGACAATATTAATTAATTATTTCTGTAAACAATTTTATTATTATTATCATTATTACTATTAGTTTATAATAACAAGAGAGTTGGAACTTTTAGGATTTTTATTTTGATGCATCCTATCTTTGTGGAGTCGGCTTCCCTGCTACGAGGGAGCAGACGTGCAGGATTTGGAAAATTCAAATTTAATATGTAATATTTTTATTTTTTATTTTACATTTTTAAAAATAAAAAATTATATAAATTATAAATTTTTTAATAAATTTTTTTATTATTTTTGACAGTTTAAATTTAATATAAATGGTCCACATTTAATTTATAAAAGTTATTAGAAATTTTAATATTAAACCTACACTATTTAAAATATATCTGGAAAGTTGATTTATAAAAAAATTAATATTAAATAAGAATTATTCATATTAAACACGAATCATCCAGAGGACTAAATAGATTTTTTTTTATTAAAATTTCTAACAATTTATATAATTTTTTATTTTAACAAATGTAAAATAAAGAATATTAAATTTAAACTGTTTACATTTCCCACCTCGTCAACGCTTCTCTTAGAGGAGGGAAGCCAACTCCTATCTTTTTAGCTTTTTTCAGTTACATACAAGGAATATCAATTTTCTCTGAAAGTTGTGGAATTAGAATCTATTTGTGATTTAATATTTGAGTTGCTTTCTTTCTTTGTTTGCCTTTTCCCCTTTTTTGGGTGATTCTTGTCTCGCTTTCTTTATTGACAAAAATTTCATAATCTTTGTATTACTAGTTTTTTTACAAACATTTTATGAACCAAGTTATTTTATCCATTAAGACTCAATTATAAACAAAAAAAAAAGAGTTGTTTAAATAAATTTTAATAGTTCAGTTTATTTTTACGAATTAATCTTTTTATTAATTATTAATAAATATTTTTAATAAATTTAAATATGATAAGTAATAATGAGACTTTTATTCCTCAAATTTGATCTAGTAATCATTTTAATTCTTTCAGTTAATTTTTATCAATTTATTCTATAATGTTTTCTTAAATTAACATGCTAATTCTTTAAGTTTTGAAATTCTAATTGACTGTTAATTTAATCCAATATATAAAATACATTGATAACTTAGTATATGTATAGTTAAATGAGAACCATTTAGCATTTGAATCAGTTAAATTTTTATTAAAATAGTTCCTTATATATATATATATATATATATATAGCAAATTTTAATATTATATTGCTATCATCTTTTTAAATAGCAAGAATTAAATTGATAATTAAAACAAATTTAAAGGATCAAATTGATAAAAAATAAATTTAAAAGATCAAATCAATGATTAAAATAAATTTAGGAGATTAAAAGTTTCATTTACCCTATTTTAAATAAATTAATTGATGAAAATTTATTTAAAATAATTATTCTTTTGGAGAACCGAAAACAACCAAAATGAAATCAATTTTTAAAGTCTAAAAGATTCAATTGATATTGTCTACTCTTATAATATTCTTCCTTTCATTATCTAATCAGGCTATATGGCTTATTTAAATTTATTGTCAAGATCATGCTTCCATCAGATTGTTGATTAATTTGTTTTTTGGTCTTTATGCATTTTATCTTATATTTTACTCTTATCCCTTGTGTGCCCTTCTTAATTTTTTTTCTCCTTTTTGAAGTTTGACCTTCAGAACAGTCTGCGAAGAGATTTTTTTTTTCCTTTTTTCTTTTTTAATTCTTACAAATCTATATTTGAATTAAATCTATAGTCTCTTAGCTAACTCTTCTTTTATAGTTGCCTTTCTCACATTACAGTATACACTTATTTATTCAACCATTTTTAATTGAGGTTCATTGACTTTTTTAACATCACGATTCATGACCACGTAAAGGTTTCAAAATTAAATCCTCTACGTTATTGCTAAGATTTTTTCACCTAGTTGCCGGTTCCATTTACTCTTTGAATAGGTCGTTAGAAGTCACCTAGGAAATGACCAAGTGAAGCTCCTATCCGACCATATATTTTTATTTGCTTTGAAGTCGAAAATCCGAAATTATGGTGTGCATATGGTGCGATATATATGTTCAAACACGCTTCTGTCATTCATCCGAGGTACCAATTTCCAGGAAACTTCAAAATCTGAACTTTTTCGAAGACCTTCATTTTCAGAACTATCCATGGCTGCGCGTAAATGAAAAGACGAAATGCTAATTCAATCATTATCTCATGTAAGAGTCATCTTTCATCTGCAGTGCAGTTTCATCAGTCTCATCTCATATTCTTTTCACTCTGCTTCCCGTTCCTCTCGATTCTTTCAGAGTTTGTTTTCCCCATGAAACTGCCCCTTGATTCATCTTCCATGTTTTTTCTTTTAGTACCTTTGCTGGTCTCTTTCAGTATTCTTCCAACATCTCTTGCCGCCGATGATGGCCGCTATACCGACTGCAGAAGTAGTTCTTTTAGCTGCGGAATCCAACAAAACCTCACATATCCCTTTTGGGGAGGAGAGAGAGCAGATTATTGTGGGTTTCCTGATTTCCAGCTCACATGCGAGAGCAATATCGCAAAGATAACCATAGGGGGCCTCGAATATCGGCTTCTTGAATGGGTCTCGACTTCAAATGTTCTTGTAGTGGCTAGGGATGATTATTCTGACACTATCTGTCCACGTGATTACATGAACAATACGATTGATCCAACAAAGTTCGAGTATGTAGATGGTCTAATTAATATGACCTTTCTCTATGATTGTCCTCCTATATCTGAATCATATACTGTTAGAAACTGCCAGAGAGATAATGATACATCGACAACAGTCTACTATGTTCCCGGACCAGTGTATGTAAGTGGGTGCAAGAGTAGTGTTGTGCCGGTATATGAAGAATACCTTAATCAAGCTGCTTCATCAGCTACACCCGATCTAATACAGGGTGTCGTAGAAAAGGGTTTTGGGTTGCAATGGATGGTAAATAATGAAGTGTGCAACACATGCTCTCAATCTGGTGGAGAGTGCGGCTATGAGGGACAACAATTCTCCTGCTTCTGCAAAGATGGACCCCATAATACTACATGTTCAGAAGGACCGCCGTCAGGTATCTTATTACTTTATCATAATCCATTGTTCATTTGTAGCCGAGAAACATGGACATGGGAAATGACTCTATGATAAAGGTGTCATGTTACAAAACAGAATTTTTCTGTATTTTGAAGTATAGATGCCGTATAGATGTGCAGTATATTTTTGCCTAGGATCCCAAACAACGCGTGACGAGGGCGAATGAAGTTTATATCTCATTTTCTAATAAATTTGTCTTAACGAATCATCTCATCCACGCTAATTACCTATAAAAGCTCTGAAGACGGTGATTAGCCCCTTTTTTCGAGAACATGAATGGTTTAGCAGATCATCCAGTGCAAGATCACCTCTTGTCATGGGGTTTTCTGTTATCAAGTAATAACCCTGTTGATTAACTGTCGTTGTTTCTTCTTCTCTTAACACCATAGCAGCCAAAAAAGACGGGTCTTCCATTGCTTTGCAAGAGAAATAAAAGTTTGATGATGTTTGACTTTTAGGATATATATATATATATATATATATGTATGTATGTATGTATGTATATAAATATACATAACATTTCAGCTTCCTGGCAATTTCCCATCTAACAAATGTTTTTCTATTCTAGCGCCAGAGACAAGCCTCCTTTAAGGTTTTCACATCTTCCCTGCACAGTTCATAATTATTTGATTGTGACTATTGTTTAGGCAGAAATTAGAATACATGGAAGTGCTTTGCGTTCCAATTTTGGGCATCATATGAAACAGAATCTCCTTCCTTTTCATGTGGATTTTGATTTGGAATTGAGCCAAATATATTATTTGGGCAATTAAAAATATGTGAATTTCAATTTAACCCAAATCTAAATCTTACCTTAATCCCTTTGTAATTTTAAATCTTTTTTAAACCACTAACATTTAAATTAAATTTCTATGGAAGTCTCTCTCTTCCTTTGTGTTCAATCATCAATTTCAACATTGCTACTTTTGGTTGACTTCCATTGAGATTAGACCGCCAACAATAACCTGGATTGGATCTCCTACGGAGCCGATTGGGATTGCATTGCCGGCACCGATCGAGACCAAACCATCAGCAATGACCAGGACTAAATGGTCGACTTTGATTAGGACTGCATGGCCTACTTTGACTAGGATCAAATTGTCGACATCAATCAGGTTTAGAAATTTCAAATTTCAATTCACTTTCAACTACCGTCCTCTATGACCCGATGTTAGTTTGTTGTCGTTGTTGTCAATCCACTACCACTGTTTGGTATTGGTCCATCACATCCAACTGGTGTTGGTTTGTAGTAGTCGTCACCATCCAGGACTGGTTTGTGAGCACCATCTTTGATCCATCCACTTTTGTCACTTGGCGCTAAATGCCGCTATTAACAAGGAATGGTCTAGTGTCATTATCTAGGTCCAATTCACAGCCCTTGAACTGCTATAATCACCCTTTGCTAATTCATAAGCATTGTTTGGGATTGGACAGCTGATGTCGACTTGGATTAGGCTGTTACTGCCGATCAAGACTGGACCACTTACATCATCCAAGTTTGGGCAATCAAAGTCAATCGAGACCGAGCCACAACCCTTGATTTGGATTGAATCACTAACTTTAACTAAGATTGGATTGCCAACATCGTTTGAGTTGCCTTTAAATTTAAATATGAAATTTGAGATTTAGAATTTTATTTGAGATTCAAACAAAAGATTTTAATTTGATAATTTAAAAATTTTTATATCATCCCAACAAAAAATTTAAAGTATATGAATTTTAAATATGAAACTTTAAATTTAAATTTTCAACTTAAGTTCACCTATCTAAATACATAAGCGTGAGAGTAACCGGGATGGAATTCTAGTTCAAGTCAAATTGTCTAAAGAAGTATTTAGGTGTTTGGAGCTCTAAGAGATTTAAAAGTCTCTATTTCATACCGTCTAGAGACATTTTAAATTTATAGTTTGAATCATTCCTTGAAAATTCAAATCCAGGTGAATCATTCGGAAATAAGTTTAGTTTTTTTAAAAAATGCAAACCATTAAACGTGTCTCACCTCTTTGACTTTTGATGCGCGCATGTATAGCAAGCAAGATAGAGTGGTTGGAGAATAATTTTGGCATTAGTTGGCTCGACTTTTTGACCATGTCCAGCGATCCATCTTAATCTCACACATTTAAGTGCTTTATCAGAGTCATGTTACCTTCATCCCCTTCTGAAAGCCCCGGGGAAATTCTTACTTGCTAGGTGACCTAAATTTGCAGTCGATGGGGATCAGTACCTTTCAATGTTCTCATCTCTTTGAAAATCTTTGCCAATAACATGCTGAATCCTTCCAGTTTTCCATTCATGACCATTAATTCTATGCTCACCATCTGTTTAGTTCTATTGGGAAATTGAAGGCAACCCTCTGTGTCTTTCATCCTCTGTTTCTTTCTCAAGATGCAACTTCATTCCAGCATCTCTGTTTCAATTTTTATCATTTCGATTACCCTATATCACATTCCAATTTGCTTCTGTGTTTATTATGAGACAAATTGCAGTTCTTCATTTGCTTGTGGAAACCTCAAAAACCTCGGCTATCCTTTCTGGGGATCGAAAAGGCCGGAGTATTGTGGCCACCCAGATTTTAAACTAGATTGCGGTGGTGAATATGCAGAAATCACCATCATGTCTGAAAGCTATCGAGTTCTTGAAGTCAATTATTCTGATTATAGTCTTAGAGTTGTGAGAACTGACTTCTCGAATGATGCTTGTCCAACCTATTTCAGGAACAATTCCATAAATTTGGATTTCTTTAAGTATCGTTCGGACTCTCATGACCTGACACTGTACTATGGTTGTCCTTCCCCTCCATCTTCTCTCTCACATATCCTCTCCAATCAATTTAATTGCACTATAAATAACACCAAAATGGTTGACTATTTCCTTACCGAGGTCCCGGAAATTGTTCCGTCGTCTGAAATTGAAGTAACAGGGACCTGCAAATCTACTGTCATTGTTCCGATTTTGGCGTCCCAAGTCAGCTTTTTAGAGGAAAATCCAAGTGCTGAAAATCTGAAGGCTGCTATTCATAACGGCTTTGGCTTGGTATGGAACGCAGATAATAATCTGTGTTATGGCTGTCGAAAATCTGGTGGGGGATGCGGTTATAACACAATCTCAAGTGAATTCAGTTGCTATTGTAGAGACGGACCTGTTCCATCTGCCTGCGGATCAAGTAAGTACCTATGCTTTAGTAATTCCTACCAATCTATGAAGGTCACAGATACAGAATCCAGATATTGCAACACGTACGACGAAACAAGCAGTGTCGTGTAATTTGAAGGGTTGTGTCTGATACTAGTGTGAGACACGTAAGAGACATGATACAAGTCTGTTTTAGCTGTACTTGTGCTCCATAGACTAGAGTTTGAGAAATTAGTGACGTCTTTGAACCTAGATTGATGAATAAGCCTTGAGTTTCAATAGATTATTTCAGATAATGCCGGTTTATTCATATCCTTGTCAGTCATTGCTTTTCGAGCGCGGTATGTGTATTGAAGTCACATACTCATCACGTAGTTACAGTTCAGCGATGTCTGAGGACTTGCCCACAAGTTCCCTGTTCTTTTCTGCAGATAGGACCTTGATAGCCTTTTGTCAGGAAGTCATGCTAAAAAGGGGGGGAAAAAGGTTTAGCTTATATATGATTCTGTACGTAGTTGATTCATTTCTCAAGAATGATTCCTGGCTTTGGTTCATCTCCAAACAAAGCTAGACAAAACCGCCTTCTTCTTCTTCTTCTTCTTTTCTTTTGCCTCTTCAGTTTATGCGGACACTGGACACTAATGAGACGTGTTTATCCCCAATTACAATGGAACTTAATCTGCAATTTTCTTCATTATTGGCTAATTTACTTATGTTTTATGCACCAACTTTATTTAAAAAGATGTAGTAAGAAGTCTTGTTTAGGGGCTTTCTTGGTGGTAGGGAGATATTATTAGGTAAGTGCCAGGCTATCATGGGCTGTTCACATTAGTGTAGATGTTCTAAAATATAGGCAACCTGCTTTGACTGCAAATTAACTTAAAAAAAAAATCCCTTTTGTATCGTATGATCAACTTATAATTACATTTAGGTCCTATTTCCTCATGATTAAAGGACTGTCGTTTGTCATCTTGGGCAGTTCATTCTGAAGTCATCTCCGTCTAATTCCACTTCTCTCACTTCTTAGGATTCCGAAAACCCTCCACTTCAGATGCCATCTATATTGTATAATTATATATCCACCAAGCTATTTAATTTGCGATCCGTGATTTTACAGCTTACACATGACTTTGTGCAGAATAGTTGAATCTCTTGATGCATCTAACCTGTATAAATATTGAGTTTTGACTCTGTGTTTTACTTGTCCCCTCTCTCTTAATCTTTTTTTGCTGACTAACTCGAACTATATATATATATATATATATATAAAGCTCTTTGGGTGGTGAGCAATAATTTTGTGGTTTGCATATGACTTCGTCCAAAACAGTTAGGCTTCTTTTGATGAACCTTTTTTACTCGTCCAAATGTATATATTAAACCCCCGTTCAATAGATGAAGGTAGGTTCTAGTTGGATCGAATATGACATACGGGACTTGATGATAAGTAAGATGGGAGAGTCTTTTGTTTCTAGTAATAATCATCTTCAATGTTTGGTAGGTTTGGATTGAAATTCATACCTACTCATCCAGTAGGTTTCTTTCCTCTTTTTTTTTTTCCTTCTCCCATGATCTCCTTTGAATTTCTTTTTTTTTTTCTTTTTTTTTTCTCGTTTGAAATTGCTCTCTCGTCTGGTCTGAGACCGTGTCTCTAGTTCTTGATGCTGGGTGTTCTTGCCAGAGGTTGAACTAAGCCTCTGTTCTAGTTTTTATTCGAGAAATGGGTGTTAGTTATAGTCAGTCAGCTTCACTATCCTGTGCTTTTATGTTGATTGTGTTGGAAATTTTATCTTTTTGCTTGTGTTGTTTGAAGAATCTATTCCCTCTTTCGTCATCAAACCTAAATTCGGAAAAGTGACTTGCATGATTAACATGATTAAGAAAAATGTAAATACATTTCTTTAGTGTTTATTTTAGTAGAGACAAGATCTGTCTAAAATGTTTGATGTCCTTTCTGGTAATGTGCATCTCCTGCATTGCATTGCAATGTATTTTTACTTTGCATGAAAAATAAGCTTAGCGAAGCCCTCTAATAATACCACTATACCAGAGGGGAGGTGCCTTCCTGCGGCTGGCTCCCCTTGAAATGGGCCATGAGGGCGAGTCTGTTGGGTTTTCACCACAAGACTAAGTCGTCTTTTCATACCTTATTATTCCATGACTTGAAAACAAATTATTCATGTTTGGCTAACAAAGATTAGTCCAATTAATAAAAATTCAATTCATAACTTATAAGGTTGTAAGTTCACATCTTGATGTTGATATAAGAACTTTGCTGGTGAGCAATCTATGAGTATCTTAAAAGCATGCGCTTCCCTAATACCTGACTCACTATTAAAAAAATTATTTATGCTTGTATTGCTATTTTTTTATAAACATTAAAGTTCATATAAGTTGGGTTCTTAGAAATCATTAAAATTAATGTATATTTTGAATTCAAAAAGTACTTATAAAAATTACTTTCATTTTGAATTCATATGAGTTGCTAATAATATTTTTATATTGATAACGAGATTTGAATTCACAATTTTGTAATTTATGAGCCAAATCTTTATGAAAGAAATATTATGAAAAAGCTTACCAAATATTTCAGAATATTATGAAAAAGCTTACCAAATATTCCAGAAAAATGGGGTATTATCTTGTTGCCAACTTGTTCACACACACACCCCTCTTGCATCGTGCAGACAAGTAAATTATTGGATGGCTTGGAAACTGCTGCGAAGGGGAATTAGTGATAGTGGCGTGCTGCTACCAACTATGTATTACTATTAATATTAACTAGTATTGAGTTAGCATACAGCTAATCAAGTTTGATTAGCTAGTTAAAACCTATCTTTGATAAACAAATGGTAGAACTTAAATGTTAGTAAATTAAATTTTTTAAGAGGCATGTGCCGTTCAACTTGATATCTTGGAGCTTGTTTTCCATTGCGTGTGTGTATATGTACACAAAAAGTCAGAGTCAAATAAATCCATCTAGAGCTCAAGCTTCATCATAACTTGTTATGGCAACCAAAGCAGACTCTATTATTATTGTGTGTCTTGTAGTGTTCTGGTTAGTCAAAAACCAATCTTCCCGCCCGCCACAGAGTCAGACCAACAACCCAATGGACAACAAGCCATGCTCTTCTTCGTCCTCTTCACCTTCATCCACTCCACTCTCCACCGTACGACGTCGATCCCTTCCAACGCCTCCTTCTCTCTCTGCTTCAAAAGCTTCGACTGCGGCAACATTCACGACATCCCCTACTCCTTCACCGGAGCCGACCGTCCCTCCTTTTGCGGCTCACCGGAATTCCGCCTCACCTGCCGCGGCGATTTTCCCGAGCTGAACATCTCTCGGTAAGTTACCGAGACCTCCGGCTCGACCCAATTGGACGTGTTCTCACCTTAGCACGCATAGACCTCTGGAACGAAACTTGTACTCACAACTTTGTCAATTCCCCTTGTGGCCAAACCAATTTTAGGTACGGTTCAGGCAACGAGAATCTCACTTTGATCTATGGGTGTGGTTCTTCTTCTGAGATTAACGTAAAGCCAGAGAATCTGTTTGAATGTGAGTTTAAGGGGAATCAAAGCGATTCTTGTTCTTTGATCGGTCCGTTAATGTGAATTATAGCAGTCCTTATGAACATGAATGCTTGAAATGTCTTGATTTTGGTGGCCAGTGTGGATTTGATTACGATTTGGGGAAGCCAATTTGCATTTGTGGTGATCACCTGTGTCCCTCCCCACGTACTTTGAGCTTTTTCGATTGGTTGTTTAGGTGCTTGATAGGTTTGCCACGTGATGATGCTGTTTTTACGTGAAGCTCGTACAAATCAAATGGGTACACATTGTTTCGAAAGATGAGATAGTATGAATAAATTTGAATGCTAATATTGCAGTCTAAGCTAATTTTCTCGTGAACTCATATGCTATGTGGAGAGCATGAGCTATTAATTACCACTTCTGACTTTCCTAACTGCCGAATAATCTGCCAGAAAATTTGACAGTTAGGGGATAGACGGAGTGACATTTGCCAAAATTTGGACGGTTTGACTGATGCAGTGTAATTTGACTATTAGGCACGAAACAGGAATTAGCTATCATTATAAACTGTAGAACAAGTGGATTCCCTCTAATTGTGCGATGACTGTCATTTTACTACTATTATCATTGTCTTGCTTTCTTTTGAATCAAGCAAGCTGAACACCCAAAGTCTGGTACCTTTGGGGCTTTTCAGCGAGCGTAGAGATATATGAGAAGGCGTGTTATATCACTGCGTTTGACTTTCCAATAACAGTTTAATTCCTCTAGACAGTCTTGTTTTAGACATATGAAAAGTTAGAACTTTGAAATTAGAGGTGTATGCGATTTTCATGACAGTGTTTTTGGGTGCATATGCCGCTGGAAAACTCCTCCCCTTTAATCTTCACTTCCGATTCGTAGATTTTTCTTTTTTGTTTATGAATATCAATAATGCTTATCATTATCGTTAACGAATATCGATAATACTTCTCTTCTTATCATTAAGTTTTGACATTTATCTTGTATTTTACAGAAAAGAAATCCAAATCAAAAGTTACAACAGGTAGCCTCTATTCTGATCTCATACGGAATTAATTTTCTTAAGGTGCAGCAGTTTGGCATAATTTTACTAACTTCTTGAACTATCTTCAGGCATTATTGCAGCTGCTGCGGCAGGAGCTTTTTTAATTCTTCTTGGATTATGCCTGTTCTTTATGGTGAGACGAAGGAAAAGAATTGCAGAACAGTCACAATCCAAGGACCTCTTCATGGCTCCTTTTAGCAGAGGCGTTGCTACCTCTACAACAAATTCGTCTCAAAGTGTCCCATCTTACATCACCTCAAAGACTGAATCCATGCAGCACAGTTTCTTCTATGGGGTTAAGGTGTTTAGCTATGCTGAACTAGAGGAAGCCACTAAAAATTTTGATCCTTCCATGGAACTTGGTAATGGAGGTTTCGGCACTGTTTATTATGGTAAGAATATAATATTTGTCTTCTGGATTCTAAACAATACATCAATGAATCTTTGCCATCATTCTCTCATCCACTCCACTTTGATTGTTGATCAGGCACTCTGAAAGATGGACGTACAGTTGCAGTGAAACGGCTTTATGAAAGCAATCTGAAACGTGTTGATCAGTTCAGGAATGAAGTTGAGATTCTAGCTAAATTACACCATAAAAACCTGGTTGAACTTTATGGATGCACCTCTAGACATAGCCGAGAACTTCTCCTTGTCTATGAATACATTCCTAATGGAACAGTGTCAGACCATCTCCAAGGAAATCGATCAAAGTCTTCTTTGCTCCCTTGGCCTACACGATTGAACATCGCCATAGAAACTGCCGACGCCCTGGCCTATCTTCATAGATCAGATATCATACACCGTGATGTCAAAACCAATAACATTCTTCTAGACCATAAGTTTTGCGTTAAGGTTGCTGATTTTGGTCTTTCAAGGTTGTTCCCCAATGATGTTACCCATGTGTCAACTGCTCCACAAGGAACACCTGGATATGTGGACCCTGAGTATTATCAGTGCTACCAACTCACCAATAAAAGTGATGTTTATAGCTTTGGTGTCGTCCTAGTTGAGCTCATATCATCCTTAGAAGCCGTGGACATAACCAGGCACCGCCATGACATAAATTTAGCCAATCTTGCCATCAACAGAATTCAGAATCATCAAGTGCATGAGTTGATTGATCCGCTTCTGGGGTTTGAAAGAGACAATGCTATTAAGCAGATGACGACAGCAGTGGCGGAATTGGCCTTTAGGTGTCTGCAGCAAGACGGTGACATGAGACCTTCCATGGATGAGGTACTGGAAGTCTTGAGAGGAATCCAAAAAGAGGGGTATGGTAGACAGGACGATGCGCAGAATCATAAGAGAGTTGATGAAATCATGCTTTTGAAAGATGCTCCTCCTCCATTTTCACCAGACTCGGTTGCTGATAAATGGGTTAGCTCCTCTACTGCTTCTAGTTCCTTGTAACTTCCATAACTTTACTATTCAGCTAAATGAGATAAAGTTTAGTTTAGGTGAGAATGAACCAATGCACGTTGGTGTTTGCGCGGTGTGTATATAGTATATTTGGTGATATAACCAAATCTTTGTGCTCGATGTATTAATCTTTACCTCTTGTATACTGTTGTTCTACAGTACTATTTTGACAATTTTTTAGGTTTTTTTTTTAATTTATATAGTTGGAAGAGGCGGGAATTGTGGGATCTACATTAAAAAAATATGGGGTGTTGGCAATGTGGGGCTATAGTAAAATTTGAGCATACAAATTTTTTTTTTCATACTTCTCTCAAACCATAATATATGGTATATTTTTAATTATATCCTTGTTTTACACTTTCTCTAGTCTCTATTATAGGGTGTCTTTTAAAAAAATTTGTTCATCCTTAATATAAGACATTTGATGGGGTATTAATCACATTTTTATAATATTATTCATATTTAAACTCATTAATTATGGAAGAAAATATAATATAAATTTAAAAAATTTTCATTTAAAATTTTATGACGCTATTTGTTTGTCTTTTTCTTGATTGAAATTATTAAAATGTCTCTTCCATTCCATTCTCATCCATTTTCCTAAAATAAAAGAGAAAATTAATGTCCCTTTATGCACGGGTGTTATATCTAGTTAGTAAATATGGTTATTTATTTCATGTTCCACTCTTCTGCTGATGGTTGGAGAAGTTAAAATTTCAGTCAGGCTCAATTTTTCTTTAAAGAAATGTAAAACAAATCAATCATAATTTTTTTTTTGGTGAGTAAAAAAATAGACTTTGCAAGCTATAAAAAATATCTCAATTATAAAAGGCAAATGGTAGGCTCCTTACTAAATTGTTTCATATGTAAGGGTTGATATTCGAACCATCAACCATTTGTATAAGTGATAAGAGTATTTATCATTTATTATTTCTAGAATCAGTTATAATATATGATTGTTTGAACTTTTATGACAGTATATATCAAAATTTCTTCAAGATTGATTTTAGATTTTTTTTTTTTTTAAGAAGGACTATGCCAGCTCTAACTTAAGTAATTGAATCTATTGACAAATATTTTGGCCAATTATAGCCAGTTCATGCTGGCATCTCATTTTATTGAAATCATTTTTCCCCCGATCAGAACTGTTTTTCCATTTAATTTCGATGAAATAGGCTTTAAATACATATATTTCATAGCTGGATGGACACTGTGAGAGATTATTATCTAAGGAAAAAAAATTAGAGAAAACAGACTATAGACATTAAAATGCCAAAAAAAAAATTATCACCGCTTATTGGGAAAAAAAAAAGATAAAAATAACTTTTGGTACACGAGTATAATGTGAAAACTCTTGAAGAGCCACTCTCATAAAATATATGGATAGTGAATAGTAGGACTTATTTTTTATAACTTATTTAATTCGAAAGACTTATATGATTTACCAAAAATATCTCATTAAAAAATTGGTGCCAACGTTTGAAAATCGAGAGTACAGCAGGCTCGATTGATGGACAACATGATGGCTTATTCACTGTTTCTTATCCTTGACGGGTTGTCTTTCTTCTTCAACAAGCGATATCGAATATCTGTCACAACAAAGACGACAAACAAAATAATATTTTGCCAAAATAACAAAACAAAACAATTAATTAATGGCTAACAAACTTAATCTTTACTTTGTCCATTACTTCCATTTATGAAAAAAAAAATTATCAACGGACAGCAAAAAAATCGAAATCAGTTAGAATAATAAATATGATAAAGTTAACATTTATTTTAACTTTTTAAAAAATCTTCACACTTATATAATAACCGCTCCCAACTTTTGATCACATGTTTAAATAAGTAAATAAATATGCTAATTAACTTGTGCATCAAGCTTCAAATGATAATTTACATGCTAAGATTTTTAATATTTCACTCAACAAGAGTAAAAATCTTTTGTTTTATTATATGAATTGAGAAGAGAGGGAGAATTTTAATTAGTTTTCCCTTCCCTCTCTTTCAAATTAGGAAGATTTGGAGGGATTTCCCCCCTCACAAAGTGTTAAAATATATCTACAAGATATTAAAGAGTATAATTTCAAATTAAAAGTTTGAGGGTATAGACATCCATCTCATGTATGATTATACAATTTGTTGTACATTTTCAATAAATTACAACTTTTTTAGTTCAAAACGTTTTTAATAATTTATTTTCTTAAAAATTAAAGTCAGTAATTCAGGCAGGGCAGATTTATTTGAGCTTAGCTCAATTTGAGTTGGGCTTATTAGGCTTGAAATATTCTATCCCTAAAAGAAAATTCATATAGTTAAGCTTGACTTGAATTACCGACTTTACATGCATGTAGAATCAGTAATTTCAATGGTCGAACTTATTTGAATTAGGCTTAAAATATTATATATTTTTTAAAAGTTCATATAATCAAGCTTAACTTTAGCTTTTTTTTGGACGGGTTTGGACTTGTCCTGAATTGCCACTTCTATTAAAAATATAAAAATGACACTGAAAATTGGATTCTTAAAATAAAATTATTAAAATCAAGTATTTAAATAAACTCATAAAAAATATATCAACTCATAATGTAAACTTGAAAGCATCGTAATAGTCTATTATTATTTATTTTTGTAAAACATGATTTTAATTAAGATAGTTTAAGTATGGTAGCTTTATTTTAAAGGTTGTGAAATTTATTTAGTCGGAAACCTAACAATCACCATATGATAGCTTTGGTTTTAATTGGGTGATAGATGTTTCCCTTTTGTGTGCGTATACACTAATTTCTTTCTTTTTGTTAAAAAAAATCCTATCTAACCCTTTCTCATGGGGAAGAAAATCTCACGCACATGCATTTCACACATACCCACACATCACACAACAATCCCACAAACATGTAAATTTTTTGTCCCTCTCTAACTATATGGGGATTTAATCCTTTAACCTCTTGCATCTAAAGATAGGATTACAAGGATAAATGCCACTAGACCAAAGAGTCGTCGGCACATACTAATCAACTAGGTTTTTTTTTTTTTTTTCCTGTGGGGGATTGTTTGTATGAGACAAGAGTCTTTAGTTTTTTTTTTTTGTGTATTTTTAAATTATAAGAGTAACCTAACAACTTAGATTTACAAGGGAAATGGAATCCGCAATCACTTACCAAAAAAACTTCAATATAGCCCGGGGGGGTTTGCTTTAAATGTTATATGAAGGTTTAGGATTAAGGATGAAGGGAGAATATTATGACTTGTGAGTCTAAATTGACATGATGGAATTGAGATAAGTGCGGAGCACTAGATAGTGAACAAGAAATTGATCACAGACATATAAGACTAAAGACTTCCAATAAACCTGGGGTAAAATCTCCTTACCAATCATTAAATTAAATTTTACCATTAACTGTCAATTTTTACTCTCTCCGTTTACTTATTATTATGAGATCTGTTTTACCAACTTACATGTTTTAATGTAATTAATTAATGTTCCTAAGGCATTTTGGTCATTCCAAATATAATAGCTCTGATTCTAATTGTTGGTTAAAGTAACTCTATTCCTACTTGGGCCAAAGGAGAAATTCTTGCATACATCTAGTGCCATACATCTTAAAAAAACATGACATGTTACACCATTTCAATTAAATAAAATCTAACATGTTATTAGTTTTAATAACTTTACTTTTAAAATAGAGTGCTTATTTAATTTCTTATATTTTCTTTCTGTATTATCATCGACAACAGAATCAATTTATATTTATAATCATTGCTTTTATTGGATAAAGTATGAATGATGTGATATATTTGATCTATGCAAGAATTTCTCTGTCCAAAAATGGGAGAAGATTCTCTCCTCTTCCATTCTCATCATCTTCCATTCTTTTTCCTTTTTAATCATTCAAATGGGATATTTGATTTCTTATAAAATTATTATTAAAATATAATATAACTTTTTTATTTTACCTTTTTATTAAAATTAATGTTCACAATAAAGTGTCCAAATTTTTTTTTAAACCTTCAAAGATGCTGGTTTCCACTAAACACGAAACAAATCAAACAAGAAAAAAGTTCAGCCATCAAATGCATATCCAAAGAAACAAACAAAGAAAGAAATAATTACAAGCAAGGGCGAAGTTAGGATTTAAGATTAAGGGGGGCCAACATTAAAAAAACATATATATTATAAAATTTTTATAAACTTTAGAAGGACCGAAAGTATGTAATATTTATATAATATAAAAAAAATTTAAAAAATTGAAAGAGACCATGGCCGTTGCTAGTCTCCTCCCTTTCTGCTATTGCGAGAAGGGGAAAAAAAATCTGAGACAAATGAAATAAAACAAAACAGTAAAAACAAACAGCCCACCGCTTCGCAGCCAACACCTTCACGATCAGGGGATCCAAGGCCAAATGAAGTATTAGAAATTCTTCAGATCAGTAGCATTCCAAGAGAGTAACAAAGAAAGAGAGAATGATGATGTAAATACCCACCTAGACAAGCACACCCCTTGCGAGTATTAACTAGTATAGAATCAGCAGCACTATTACCTTCCCTTTTGGTAAAGGAGAAGAACAAGTCAGCTCGAGACGCACACAAGTTTTGAATTTCCTGACATTAGAAACCAGCAATGCCAATCACTTTTATTTGCAGACTGAGAGGAAATACAAGCAAAAAGCTTCTGCATTGTCAGTTTAATTTCCGCTACAACATTCCTCATATTCAACTCAGCAATTAGGAGCGAGGCCTCCTTGACTGCTATGAATTCACTCATCCCAACAGATTCAGCTTTAACAAAATCCCGAAAACCCCACATAAAAGAGCCTGCACTATATCGAGTTGTGGTGTGGTATATTCAGAAATTTTGTTGGGGCATGGGTGAGCGGGTGGGTTTGTAATCTTGGCACTTGCACAGCAAAAAGAAGCCGAATATTGGTGGCTTTTCCATGGCATGCATGGGTGGTTCGTGAGCTTCATATTAACAAGGTGATTATTGAAAGTGACTCTGCTACGATGGTTCAAGAATATCATATCACATGGCAGCAGATGGCAATGAAGTCCAACAGTGGCAAATTTGCCAGGTTCTTAATTTAATTAATAAAGATTGGCAAGTCATTATGAAATATGTTCAAAAAGAGAATAATGTGTGCTGACTGGATCGTGAAATTCAAACTCAGTCATAACTTTAATTGTAGTATTGTTGAGGCTCCTCCTAGAGGACTTAGCCGATACTATTATGCAGATGAAAGGGGACTCTAGCTCCAGCATTATGTAAACGTAGGTACTTGGGCTTGCACAATAATTACGACAACTGTGAGACCGATAATAAATGAAGGGTAGGAATGAAAAAATATATATATTAAGATTTTAATAATAATTTTATAGAAGATTAAATCTGAATTATTTAAATTTTGATGTAATAGTTAAAAAAGAAGGGAAGATGATAGGAATGAAAGAGCAGACAATCTACTGGGCAAATTACCAATAACTAATAATTCAATCTAATTCACTCCGTTATTATTGTCTCAGTTCCAAGAAAAATGCTTACCACGTGCCACAGCCACGTGTCTGACAGCATTTATATCCCACTGAGAAAGCCATTTGCGTTGTCATTATTCCTCTTTAGTTCTCCCTTCTATCTCTCCCTCTTTCACTGTAACATCCACAACACACCTCAGTAATAAAGCCTCAAAAGCCGATCGAATCGGAATCGAATCGAATCGAATGGACTCAGATCTCGCTTTCTCTCTCTAGCAAGCAATCCTTCGCTTCTCCGTTACTTAATCCATCGCTCTTCTCTTTTTCAATGGCCACACTTCAGAAATTCAAGCTCTTAGCCACCCAGTGCGCCGTCGCCGGCAGCCCCACTCGCAGCCCTACTACTAGCCCCGTCATCCACCTCCGCCGCCGCAAGACCCTCCGCATGTTCCTCAGCCGTCCCGACCGCCGCCGATTCGCTCGCCGCGAGGACGCCCCTGTTGACCACGACGATGTAGATCCGGTGGAAGTGAACGAAAAGGAGGTCAGAGTTCGCCGGAAGCTCAAGGATCTGTTCGTATCTTCTCCTCCGCCGGTCGATGATGAAAAGAGGTGCCAAGAAGAAGAACGGCGAGAACGAGAGAGATTCTCGCCGGCGATTGCGAATTCCGGCCTCGGCAGCCGATTCCGAACCGGCTCGGCATTCCGACGCGGCGGAACCACTTCTCTCAGACCGGTCTCCTCAGCGTTCCGGTATAGATTCCTCAAGAGAGCTTGGCGACCTGTGCTCGTCACTATCCCTGAGTAGGCACTGCGAAAACTGTACGGAGATAAATAGAAATTTTCCGGGATTTTTTAATTTGTTTATTTTATTTTTAGAGAATGTTAATATAATTTTCACGGCGAAGAGCTTGGCGACGATAGAGACACTCATTGGACGGTTTTGACGCCTGGCCGCCGTACCGATGCTAACGTGCGCGGGGTTGTTGATGATGCTAACGTAAGCACCTGCAAAAGAAGAACGTATTTTACCTGCGTGGAGAACGGGAGGAAAATGTGTGGACTGTGAAATGCCAGCCTCGTTGTTTGTACCAGTGAGATACGCTTTTCCTCTCTACGACGTCGTTGCGTGGAACAGTTTATAGGTTTTGATCTTTAAAAAATTTAATTTTATTTCTGGCAAAAAAAAAAAGGTAATTTTATAAATAAATCCTAACGGTTTTTGGACCGTGTTCATCGTTTTCGAGATCAAATGTCTCCCTCATATATAGTATATGGTCGTTAATTAATTAATTAATTATTAGCATGAAAATGAATATTTTGTAGCTAGAAGGGTAAAAAGGTAAAATATATAAGTTTTCCCCCTTCTTGGTACCATCTTCTAGAGTTTGTTTCACGCATTTTGTGGGAACTGGCGAATGTTTAATATTATTATCATTTACTTATGTTGCCATGTGATATAATATTACCTTGTTTGTTTCCATAAAATTCGTTTAATCTAATTTTAAAAGTTGGGATTAAATTTTAAAAGTAGTTAATGATTAAATTTGTAATGGATAAGGTCTTTTTTCCGAAAAAGATTGTGTGAATTTTTATTTATTTAATAAACTGATAGATCTATTTATTTATTTTATTACAAGATTTAGAATGCGAGACTAAATTCATAATCTAACACTAATAAACGGGGAAGAGTGACATGTTACTAAGTTACAGGTTATATGCTGAAATTTTACTTTCTTTTTTGTTTTGAAGAAAAGTCAAGGATTTATACATATTAATAAAGTAAAAATAGTACAACAACTGATTTTTTTTTTTTTTCAACGGTTGCATTGTAAAAATAGAACCAGCTCAGAGAAACAAACAAACTAAAGAAGGGAAAACAAAGCCATAGAACCATGACAGCACAAGAAGACAGAAACACTGAAGATAAGAAATCTACAGGGACAGACGCTGAGGTTTAAACCGTCCAATCATTTATTAATCTTTTAGTTGGTGAGAATAAGTAAATTATTGAAGTATACAACCCTTTTCATTTGGGGAGCAAGTTCAATGCATATCACCCTTAAAATTTAAATGATCCAAATTTAAATATTTTTTTATCTTTTAAATAAAAGTTTTTGTAAAGTTTAAAATTTTTATTAATTATTAATATAAATAATTAATATTTAATTAGGTCAGTTTAAATTTAAATTTTTATTTTTTATAATTTTTATAAATTGACCAAACAGATTTACTTTGGATTATTTTAAATTTGACAGTATAATAAATTAAAAATTTTAAATTTGAACAGTACAAAGTAAATATATGTTAAAATTATAAAAATTATAAAAAATAAATATTAAATTTAAATCGATCTGATTAAATATGAACGCTGTTTATGGGTAATTAACAGATTTATTCAAAATCTTATAAATTTTTATTAAAAAAAAAGAAATACTTAAATCTGGATTGTCCAGATTTTATTTTAAGAGTGAGGTACTCATCACTGCTTGCTAATGAGTTCTAAATGTGCTCCCTTTCATTTGACTACATCATATTACAAAAATTAAGTAGGATTAAAATTAAATGAATTACAGAATGTGATAATATGGTATGGATTGCCAATAATGATCTGGTAAAAAAATTGTCAATCATGAGACAAATTAATAAAATAAAACATACATTTAGCAAAATTAACATTATGTATGGTAGCGAGGAGGGTTTTTTTTCCTTTTTTTTTTGTTTGTTTATTTAGGGTAAAGCGTGGGAGATCATGAATGGAATGTGCTTTGGACGAAGAATATAAGACAAAGAGTGTGATGGATTATAGAACTATTAAGCTCTCCATAAAGTTGTCCCTATTCAGGTTCCATGTATCAAGGCTCAATAATGTCTTGTCATTTAAGTATTTCCTAAAATATTAATGCATTACATGTAGATTTTTAGATGTACTTCAATATTTGAGTGTATCTCTAGGTCAACAATATTTAAGTGCATCTCAATTATTTTTTTATTTTTTATTTACATGTGTCCTTTTAAAAGTAATTATGTTCGAGATATGATCAAGTACAAAATGTAAATATTTTTTTAATAAAAATTTAAACATTAATTCATCACATTATAAGAGATTATGTTTTTTTTCATTAGATTTAACCTATGTTAGTCTCAATTATTTGTTTATTTTACGGACAACATTTTCAGCATGTTAGTTGGGTCATTACCAACACATTGGATGAGTTATTTTAACTAATTTTTAATTCAGTGCTTTGTTATTTTAATGAAAATAACATTGAACAAAAGTTTGTCTATAGAACTATCTAGTATGTAGTTCTTCTACTAGAGGATTGTTGGACTTGATCAATATAGTTTTCCTAACTTAATTTTTTTAACTGTTGACTTTATTTAAAAGAAATCAAATCTCTTTCACTCAATCAAACCATTATTGGTTTTGAAAAAAAGTAAGCTTAACTATTTTGTAAATAATTAAAATCCTGTACTATGAAATCATACTTTATAATTTGGACCAAAAGTTCTTAGAAAATACTCCCTCCAGTCCTTTTTATTAGATGCTTTAAGGAAATAACCAGTGGTATAAATTATTTTACCAAAAAAAATAGTGGTCTAGATGTCTTGCAAATATATGAAACTAATATTCCGTTTTTACCTTTTAGTTTTAATTCTATTCTTGAAACTTGAAAAGGCGTGATAGCCTTGCACAAATAATGAAGCGTCGCTGTCAAGTTTTCGTTGGCTACATTTTTTTATAATAATATTTATATCTATTTAATTAATAGGGTATAATTAAAAAAATTGAGATATTTTATAATAAATAAACCAACACAATAACTTTTCTTAATATCTGATAAAAAAAATGTGTTGAACACCTTATAAAAGAATCAGAGGAAGTATGATATTGATAAAGTGAAAAAATACATAATCTGTCCAAATTGTAAGAATAAGCCTAGCTCAAAATATAAGAATTTAGTATTTTTTTAAAAAATATTTTTCCAATTTTACCCATTTATTTGTTAATGTGAGTTTTTGGTGTAGCATGGAAAATATTATGTGCTTCTCACTTATTATAATCTCCTTATAATTCAACTCATTAAATGATAATTGGGATTAAGGACAGCAAGAAAAATACATGTTAGACAGTACTTACTTACTTAACTTTTTATATTTAATATACTTTGATTAAAGTATATATTTAATCCTTTAATTTTACACAACGTTTTATTTTAATCCCTTAATTTTATAAATGTCTTTTTAGTACTTTAACACTAACAATGTTAGTTTTATTCTAAAAATTTTTTATATTGAACTTTCAAATATTGATAAAATATTTTTAAATGTTGACATATTAAGTTTAATTTTTTTCAAAATAACAATGATTGATACAAAAAATAATCATTTGAAACTAATGATATTAGAGTTAAAGAACCAAAAAGATACTTTACAAAATTAAAAGATCAAATTAAAACCTTATATAAAGTTAGATGATCAAAAGTATACTCTAATCATATATTTTTATCTAATCAAATCAAGACATGCATATTTTAATGTGTTGATTATAATAATGACAAGAATTTGTTATAGGATTAAAAATCTATAAAAGATACTTATATTTTGATTTAATTAAAAAAATACTTTAAGTATATAAGACTACATATATAAGTTTTTTCCTTTTAACAAGCCTAAGAAAATAATTGAATTTTATTGACATGCCAAACATAGTTAAAAATGTCTTACAATTGTCAATAATCAGTTGTCTTAATGGCAATGTCACCTCTCTCTCTTAAAAGAGATCCTGAATTCAAACCTAATGTTAATGTGGTTGTGTGCATATGCGTATGGGTGTATCTTCCTTTCTTAGATTAGGGGTAAATTTTTTTTAAAAAAAATTGTCTTACAATTTAGCATTTAAAAGTTAAGTTAAAGTTCTTATCAAATATTCCAAGACGAAATAAGAGATGATCTATTTTGGTTTAGCTTCCCCATTCTATCTCCCTTTTCTTCATGTGAAGTTCTTGCCCTTCTCAAAAGGGTAAATGGATCAACTTTTCACACTTATATTAGAATAATTGTATACTTGTTATTAAAAAAAAAGAATACTTGTATGCTAATGATGGATTATGTTTCTATAATTAGTTGCAATCCGTGTACTGCATCAAGTAAAGGATCAGCACAAAGATATATTAAAAGGGGGTGTCTCTCTCTCTCTCTCTCTCTCTCTCTCTCTCTCTCTCTCTCTCTCTCTCTCTCTATGTATAATCTTTTCTGCGAGAACATACAAGTAGGATCTCCTGATGGGGTAGGTCCCATAGTACGAAAAATCAATACTTGGGAATGAAATTTATTTTAGTTGGCGGATTGGTAAATTTGAATTTAAAATATTATATTTAAAATTCATATATTTAAAATTTTTTATTTAGAGTAGTTTAAAAAAATTTAAATAAAAAAGATCAGTTGAAATTTAAACGGAAAATGAAAAATTAAAAGTGATGGGCTTACATATATTTTTCAATTTATAATAAATAAAAAATAATATAACAATTATAGAAGTATCAATAATAAAAATATGAAGAGGATGAAGTACTTGAAATGATTACAATTTTAAATAATTAAAATATAGAAGTAATTTAAATTTATAAAAGAAATATAATAAGATATGATTTTGGATTTAAATCAAATCCAAATTCATAAAATTTTGTTTATCTAAATAAGAGATTTGGTCCAAATTCAAATCCAAATCTTCATTAATCTAACACACTATTATTTTATTTAAAATGTAAACTACTTAATTGAAATGGATGGGTATAGTTTTAAAATATGTTGTTGAGATTCAACCAAGGGAGATGCAAAAATGATGATACTGAGCACAATGCTTGAAGGTAATAATGAAGTACGGATATAGATTTGAATAAATCTCTCAATAGGGACATCAACTAGAGGCATGCCCGGCCCTTTATCATTGTGTTTGTTTTTTTTTTTTTTTATTATTCCTTTTTCGGTTTGTACAATAGGGACAAAATGTGGAGCGAAAATGACAATCATAAGACTTTCTAAGAAAGAGCATTATTTTTAGCATCTAGTCAAGAAGGAGTTGGACGGGAATCATTAAGATACAATAAAGCATTTATTTTTAATATATAACACTAAAAAAGATAATATTTATTATATTTTATTCTATTATTATTATTTAATAATAAGCCATTAATATGGGTGTATAAAAATACTTTATCAACCTTATTTTCCTATTTAATTCCT